GGACTAAGGACTTTTCTTTTTTTCTTTCTTTCTTTTTTTGGAGACAGGGTCTCACTCTGTCACCCAGGCTGAAGTGCAGTGGCACAATCTTGCCTTACTGCAACCTCTCCCTCTCAGGCTTAGGTAATCCTCCCTCCTCCCACCTGAGCCTCCCTAGTAGCTGACACTAGAGGCCCACACCACCTTGCCTGGCTAATTTTTGTATTTTTTGTAGAGACAGACCATGTTGCCCAGGCTGGTCTTGAACTCCAGGACTCAAGCAATCCACCTGCCTTGGCCTCCCAAGTGTTGGGATTACAGGCGTGAGCCACTGCACCCCACCAAAGGACTTTTCTTTATAATGTTTTTAACTCATTGTTAATTTCTACTTTTTTGTTTAAAATGTTTTAAAATAAATAATTTATAAATATATATATATATATATAGGGTTACATGCTCAGTTTTTGTTACTGATAGAGGTACATGATCAAAAGAGCTTGGAGGCCACTACATTAAACTATGAATTTTGTAAATATAATTTGCATTGATTTCAATTTACACATGACTTGATTTATAGCTACATCATTAAAAAAGCCACTACATGTGATATTGTACAGAAATTATGTGATATTGTATAGAAATTATGCTTGTGACATTGTACAGAAATATGCTTGCAATGGGAATGAAACTGATTCCAGCATTCATCCTGGAACAAACTTCCCCCCAAACTTCGATTACTCGAGAAAAATGTGTTTTTAACTCCCCATGTAACACTGATATTTTTCCTGATAAATCTGGGAGGCAGTACCCTACAGTGCCTTTGGGACCACATTAAATTAACAATGACATATTAAGTGCCTGATTGCCATGGCAGATGTAAGTTCTCCTGCCTACAAAAAAACTGATTGAAATTTGCATACATGACCGGGCACGGTGGCTCACGCCTGCAATCTCAGCACTTTGGGAGGCCAAGGCAGGTGGATCACCTGAAGTCAGAAGTTCAAGACCAGCCTGGCCAACGTGGTGAAACGCCATCTCTGCTAATAATACAAAAAAATTAGCCAGGTCTGGTGGTGCAAGCCTGTAATCCCAACTACTTGGGAGGCTGAGGCAGGAGAATGGCTTGAACCCGGGAGGCAGAGGTTGCAGTGAGCCAAGATCGCACCATTGCACTCCAGGCTGGATGACAAGAGCAAAACTCCATCTAAAAAAGAAAAGAAAAGAAGTTTGCATACATATACCCTTCTATTGCTGCAGGGACCTTCAGTTCATTGTGTGTGGCTGTAATATTAAGGAGTGACTTGGGGTATGTGAAGCAATAGAAATGAGAACGAAAACTAAGAGAACTAATGAAGAAGAGGAACAGCAAAAAATGCAGCTGATCTTGGATTGTTAGTTGAAAGGAGCAGTTACATTTTAGCTTTTGTACTTGAAGCTTAAGTACTTCTTTCTTTTTGCTTTGCCCATCTATGCTAATTATCCATCATTCCCAAAAGATTTAATTTTATTAATCCAGTGTTAAAAGCAGAGATCCATAAATAGAGTTTTAATTCAGAAATATCCTACTATAGCCCAGTGTTTCCAGCATAATGAATTCACTGTGTAATTAAAAGTTTGATTAAACTAGAACCTACAAAAATATCATGTTTCTGAACTAATGTCCATAAATAGACTCAAAGGTCGACCCAGTATTCTCTATACATTAGATGTATTCAAATAATTTACTATACACTTTTCCAAAGCAAAGCAAAAAAAAAAAAAGCGTTATTTCTATGGTTATAAAAGAAGCGTTTATCTGCTTGAAAAAATTACTAAGTCTGTGTGAGTGGGGTCTGTCGTGGGCCAAGCTGCAAAGATCTGGCATGCATCTACCACAAGAGGGCAGTAGCACTCAACCGTTAATAGGGAACCCAGCAGAGCGCTGGAGGCTCATTAGAGGAATCATTAGAGCAGGTCGTTAACGCATCAACCTCTGGAAAGGACAGGGAAACAGGAACCACCGTCCAGACACTTTCGGAGCTTCTGTCTCGGTAACAATAAGACAGGAAATAAGCAACAGGGTCTTGTGAAAGACAGCGACCTCGCTCACCATCCTCGTGTCGTTGAATCACCATGGAGATGGCGACTAGCTTAATAATGGCTGCAGATGGGCGTCTGCTCATGTGGATGTTCAGATAAGAACACTGGCAGGGGTCAAAGGAACAGAGCTCTTCATGGGCATTACGGAAGGGCGGAAGAAAAGCTGAGGGGAGCAGCAGAGCTGTTCTGTCTCCGAAAATTAGGACTTTTAGGAGTGTCCTAGGTTGAATTTTATTTTATTTAGCTTCATATCATTGAGACATTAAGACTATCTTTAGAAACCTGTGTCATTTACCTTGTAGGGTTTCCAAGAAACTAATTCATAGAAAGAGAGATGAATTGGCCGGGCGCGGTTGCTCATGCCTGTAATCTCAGCACTTTGGGAGGCTGAGGCGGGCAGATCATCTGAGGTCAGGAGTTCGAGACCAGCCTGACCAACATGATGAAACTCCGTCTCTACTAAAAATATAAAAATTAGCCAGGCGTGGTGGTAGGCGCCTGTAATCCCAGCTACTTGGAAGGCTGAAGCAGGAAAATTGCTTGAACTCAGGAGATAGAGGTTGTAGTGAGCCCACAAGGTGCCACTGCACTCCAGCCTGGGCAACAGAGTGAGACTCCATCTCAGAAAAAAAAAAAAAAAAAAGAAAGAAAAGAAAAAAGAATTGTAAAACAAATGCACCTTCAATATTTTAAGTATGTATGTCGATTGGTCTAGTGTTGCCCATAAAATGAATTGTGATCTCATGAGCAGCACCTGTTTTTGTTTTTATTCCTAATTCTCTCTAATGTTACTGAGCTATAATCTGGAAAGACGTTTAGTATTTGAAATACCTAATTCATTATTCCTTAATTTAATGTTTCAGTTTAACATTTATTGAAGACTTACAATTGAATGAGAAAAGACAATGCCAGGGTGGTGTGTGTGTAAGCGTATGTGTGTGTTAAAACAGAGCATTTTAGAAAATTAATTGGATCCATGTTTTAAAGTCAGCTTCAAATAAAAATTGAGACTTGTGAATGCTTTCCACATTTTATGTGCCTTTCCTATCCCGTAGTATACCTTTTGTTGTATAGTTCCTTCCAAACCATAGGACAGCTAAACCTAATTCAGAGAATCTTGTTCCTTTGTATTGATAAAAGACAAGAAAATAAAATACGTTCTGCTTAGCAATTCTAATAGATCATTGCCATTACTGTTAATAAGCTATTGGATGGAAGACTTGATATTTAAAAGCTTTTGCTCAATTAAAAAAAAAAAGCCAGGTGCGGGGGCTCATGCCTGTAATCCCAGCACTTTAGGAGGCCTAGGTGGGAGGATTGCTTGAGGCCAGAAGTTCAAGACTAGCCTGGGCAACATAACAATACTCCGTCTCTATGATTAAAGATAATGAATAAATTATTTATTTATAATTATAAATAAATAAATAATAAAGCTTGAACTCAATTATAACTAAATGGTTTACTCAAATCAGCAAACATGTATTGGGTTAGGCAGTGAGTTAGTCATTAGGAATAACAGAAATGAATAAAACAGACTTGTGGGTGAGAGGCATCTGAAAGAAAGGGGGTAGTTATTATTATTATTATTATTATTATTATTTGAAATGGAGTCTCACTCTGCCACCCAGGCTGGAGTGCAGTGGCACAATGTCAGTTCACTGCAATCTCCACTTCCCAGGTTCAAGTGATTCTCCTGCCTCAGCTTCCCGAGTAGCTGGGATCACAGGTGCCCACCACCACGCCTGGCTAATTTTTGTATTTTTAGTAGAGATGGGGTTTCACCATGTTGGCCAGGCTGATCTCGAACTCCTGACCTCAAGTGATCCACCCACCTCTGCCTCCCAGTGTGCTGGGATTACAGGTGTGAGTCACCGCACCCAGTTAATAGTTAATATTTTTGAGCAACTACTCTGGGACAGATCTTCACAAATATTTTCTCAGCCTCTGGTCCCAGCTACTTGGGAGGCTGAAGTGGGAGGATCACCTGAGCATGGGAGGTCGAGGCTGCAGTGAGCCATGATCATGCCACTGCACTTCAGCCTGGGCAACAGGGCAAGACCCTGTCTCAAAAGAAAAAACAATTCTTCCAATTTTGTTTTATGGGAGAAGAAACTGAGGCTCAGAGCAGTTAAGTGACAAAACTCATTGGTGTAGAGCCAAGATCTGTTAAACTCTAGATAGTCTTTCCATTGGACAGAACCCACATCTGTTCAACTCTATATAGTCTTTCCATTGGACCATTCTATTTGAATATTAGTCACTGACTCCTGGGAAAAAGCAACTTTTATGAATGACAGTTTAACAGTTTTCAGTTTTAAAAACTTAAAACATATAATAGTGTGCAGTTACTACATAGCTTTAAATAATTTTTAATTAGAAAACATTTCAAACATGCAAGTATAGAGAATAACACCTGCATAGTCATTATGAAGCTATATTCTATATCCAACCTTAACACTGTGTTTGAGTTAGACTTTCTAAAGAAAACATTATAAGAACAGTTAAGGATTCCTATCCTTCCTCGATCCCACTGTCTTCTTGTCTTTCCCTAGAGATAATACTATCATGAATTTGGTATTAGTTTCATGCATGATGTCCTATTTTTACCATATGCTAATGAATCCATAAATAATATAATACTATCTTGCAGGTTTTAAAACTGTTTAATTGTGTCCAAAAGTACATATTATTCTATAACTTACTTTTTCTATTGAATATTTTGAGATTTATTCATGAATACAAATAACTAATTCTTTGTTAACTGCTGTCAAGTATTCCATTGTATGACTACACCAAAATTTATCCATAATCCTGTAAATACAAGATTCTGCTTGGTTTTGACTCAAAACATATCTAATGAACTTTAATCATAATACTGGAACTTATCATCTTAATAGTGAAGTGTAAAACTATCCACTCTTACTTTTTTCTTCCTGATGCAGGTCATTCCCGAACCGAAGTATGGAAATTTGGTAATGTTGTCATTGAACATCTATACCACTGGATACACATCTGTTCAGCTCTCACGAAGATAACCAAAAAACTAAATAGTTCTATTACACCCCCGTTGCCCTCCAAGACTGACAATTATATGTATGCAAAAATGCCAGGGGAAGGTTTGCAAGAGAAGTGATAATGAATGATAATGGAATTGGTACTGTATTTAGGATCCTTTGTTCATGTTCAGTTTTGTTTGTTAACTATAAAATATTTTCCATTGGAAAGGGGTACCCATAAAAGTCTTCTGCTCCTAACATTTTTCTCAGCACTTTCTAAACCCAAAAGTGGTACCTAAGAAGAAATTTAGCCAAAAAATATCCAGCGAAGGTAGCCATAGCCAAGTGTATTCAAGTATGTTATAGAATATATTTGAAAGCTTCCTTTCAGTTTGAGCTTTGTATCTGCTGTGGAACTGTTATGGTTGATTGAGTAGTTATTTTTCATTCTTATAAGGTGCAAAGTAACAACTGAGGATTTAGAAAACAAGAATACCAAACAGAATACCAAATAATAAAGATAAACCAAAAGAATACCAAATAATAAAGATTTTTAAGAAATGGACTGAGAATTGTTTTTCTAATTTTTCAAAGACTTATAGCATCACCTCTTCCCTCTCTCTGCCCCCCTACTCTTGCCTTAACAACTCAAGTCATTTTTAACTTATTAATTTTTAATTTTTGTGGGTACATAGTAGGTGTACATATTTATGGGGTACTCAAAAGTGATTTTAATGAACAGAAATTCTTGTGGGAAAATGTCCATGACTCATGGAAAAAAGAAGACACTTTTTAAATGATAAAAACCTCTTCAGTTTAAGAAGTGCAAAAAGAATTTATATTTGTTTAAAGCTTGTTTTTATGACAAACTTTACTGCTCTGTGGTGAGATTTCATCTTTGCAATAAGATATCTGATGACAGAGTCCAGTTTTAATAACATTTTGGGAAATTAAACTTTATTTTCTTTATTAGATTGACAAAATGTGATGTGTCCAAATATCTTATAATTTGAGATTGGCTGTCCCTTTTTAACCTTTTCTGATAAGAGGGCGGTGTTATTACCAGTCCTCCTCTCTAGGATGATCACATGCCAGTTTTAACCTATATGCCTGTTTCATATTTGGAAGAGGGCTTTTTAGGGCATTCACAGCAACATTTCAAGAAACAATGTTCTTGAAGATATTAAACTGATAACCACATATCCTGATAGCTTCAGAACAAGTTTACAGAGTTCACTGTGAATACAAATGGCATTTTAGGGAGCAAGGAAGGAAAGATTTTGCAGAATGCTATGTTTGTAACCATTATCCTGGAAATCAAATTAACTAAATGATTTCTAGCTTGATAACAAATATCATACATTTGCATGGCACTTTAACTTGAAGTATTTTCACATACTAGCTTATCTGATTCTTCCAAATATCTCTAAAGTGGGTAGTCCTGATATTATCTCCATTTTATTTTATAAATGAGTTGCTCACTTCACAATGGGTATAAGAGGCAGAGCGGACCTAGCACCTAATTTCTGGTTTATTGCCCTTGCCAGCACCCTAGAAATCTCACTCACACTTTCCAGCTTTCTTACTAGGCTAATGACCATGCTGTCAGTCTTTTGAAAACTACTTTAAAATTTGCAGCCAACAAGCCAGATTGGTTAAATTTATTAAATAATCATTCAAGTAAAATACTGTCCTTCAACCTTAGGAGCTTATATTTTGAGTGAGGAAGATGTTATTTATACCTGACAAATGTTAGATACAGATTTATATATAAATCCATTTATTTCACTGTTAATAGATTTATTTATTATATTTACATATGCTTCAGAAGCTTGGACTTGATTAACTGAATTTGTTATTGGCTCTTTCCTCACAGTTCATAGGTAACAATGACACTGCACAGTGCAGACCATCCAGACCACTTTCTTTCCTTTGCTTTCTTTTTTATTTTTTTAAGTGACGGGGTCTCGCTCTGTCCCCCAGGCTGGAGTGCAATGGCTTGATCATAACTCACTGCAGCCTTAAACTCCTGGACTCAAGTGATCCTCCTGCCTCGGCCTCCCAAAATGTTGAGATTATAGGCATGAGCCACTGTGCCCAGCTTCACTTTCTTTTATACTTTTGGCTTGTCATGATTCAGGAACATCATGAAGTGTAAAGATAATGACTTTGGAATCTCAAAAAAGCTCCAACTGCCTTTTTAAACAGGTTTACTAACATATCCACATACCATAAAAGTTACCCATTAAAGTGCAGAATTAATTTTTGTTATATATTTAGAGAGTTGTACTACCCCCACCACAATCAATTTTAGATTTTTTTTTTTTTTCCCCCGAGACGGAGACTTGCTCTGTTGCCCAGGCTGGAGTGCTGTGGTGCATCTCGGCTCACTGCAACCTCCTGGGTTCAAGCCTCCTGGGTTCAAGCGATTCTCCTGCCTCAGCCTCCCGAGTAGCTGGGATTACAGGTGTCAGCCACCACGCCTGGCTTTTTTTTTTTTTTTTGTATTTTTAGTAGAGACTGGTTTTTGCTAGTTTGCCAGGCTGGTCTCAAACTCCTGACCTCGTGATCTGCCCACCTTGGCCTACCAAAGTGCTGGGATTACAGGCGTGAGCCACGAGCCCTAGATTCCCACCAGTCCGAGTTCTAACGGTGAATTTTCTGTGCTATTATTCAGCCTCCACCAGATATGTTGGATTACAGGCATCAGGCACCACCACGAACACAAGTAACATAATTTTTGTAATTTAGTAGATGACCAAATAGCTTCACCATGTCATAAGCCAGGCTGGTCTTGAACTTCTCTGTCAAGACCTTCAAGTTGATTGGCTCCCCTCAGACTCCCAAAGTGTTGGAGAGTTGACATTGCATGATCATGTCTATCCCCAGTCCAATTGAACACCATTATCTTAATTAAAATAGGAACACAGCCATCCAAATTCCTCTGAACTCTGGACATTATCCAATCACTAACCATACTTCAACGAAGACATTGAAGGTAAATTAAGATGTGGCAGGGCCGGGCACGTGGCTCATGAGCCTGTAATCCAGCACTTTGGAGGCTGAGGCGGGCAGCGGCAAGCTGAGGTCAGGAGTTTTGAGACCAAGCCTGGCCCAACATGGAGAAACCCCATCTCTACTAAAAAATACAAAATTAGCTGGGCATGGTGGCACATGCCTTAAATCCCAGCTACTCGGGAGCTGATGCAGGGAATCACTTGAACCTGGGAGGCGAGGTTGCGGTGACCCGAGATCGGTCACTGTACTCCAGCCTGGGCAACAAGAGCGAACTCCGTCTCAAAAAAAAAAAAAAAAAAAAGAAATTGT